CAATATTATGCACCATATGGTGCGGACAATTGCATGCTCGATCGAAGGAAATAAAGAGGAAAAGAAACATATCGCTCACCGTGTCGTCGAATGCTTGATGATACGGGAATTGGAAAACTAAAACCGAAATGGAAGAAGAAAACAAGAAACAAATTGCTTAAATGATTCGGTGAATAATTTTGTTCAAGTTAAATAACGAGTTCTAAATGAAAAAGGAATGAAAAAGTGAAAAAATAATACAAGACTTGCTTTGTTGTTCATCGATGCTTGATATTAGAATTGAATGATCAGCAAAAAAACACAAATAACTTGACAAGTTATATAACCACATAACAGACCGTTTGATGCAGGATATTGTTTAATTTCAATAACCGATCGTAAATAAAACGAAAAGAAAAGAAACAAGAAGTGATGTAACACTCACTATGTTGCTCAATCTTTGACGTATCGAAATAATTCCAAAATAAATACATTTCACATCAGATAAATTGACTTGCTAAGTACAACAGAGAAAGCAACAGAAAAAATGAAATGTTATACATAGGTCAGTCAATAAGTTCTAATAATCTTCATATATAATTTCATCTCTATTCACTTGACGGATCATATTGGGCTACTCTAGTAGCGACATCTGTCGTGTATCCAAGTACCAATAGAAAGTTTTAAAACTGTCAAGAATGACGGACCGTTAATCAAAACTTTGAACACCCCTATTTTGACATGGATAAGCTCTCCGTACGCTCCTATATAAAGACTCGCTCGCTTCTGGGCTTAACCGCTACGGAAATTCATGATGAATTGGTCACTGCTTATGGTCCATATGTAGTATCATATTGCACAGTCGCACGTTGGATTCGTCGATTCTCCAGTGGGCGGGAGTCGTTCTACGATGATCATCGAGTCGGTCGACCAATCACCACGGTTACTCAACGGAACATCGACGCTGTGCAAGACTTAGTGCTTGATGATCCCCATATAAGCATTGAATACATCGTGGACATCTTGCAAATTTCACACGGAAGTGTGTTCACGATCATCAAGCAACATCTGAAGCTGAGGAAAATCTCCTCAAGATGGGTTCCCCACGAGCTCACTTCTGCACAACGACAACTGCGTGTTGAAATATGCCTCAACAATTTGCGGAAATTCGAGAGTGGCGTTTGGCGATTGGGTGACATTGTTACTGGAGACGAGAGTTGGTTCTACTATCGTAAAATCGAATCAAAGCAAGCTTCCAACTTGGATTCCGAAAGAAGAACCTCCTCCAACAGTGGTGAGAAGGCAGCAATTCGAACAAAAGACGATGTTTGTCGTCTTTTTTATGACAACTGGACCGTTGCTAGTACACTATTTGGCATCCGGAACATCAATCAACGGCACCTATTATCGCGATGAATGTCTGAAAACGTTGGTTCGAAATCTGTGCGAGAAAAGACCATCAGCAAAGACGCGTGGTATCCAACTGCACCATGACAATGCGCGCCCACATGTCAGTGGCATCGTACTTGACTATCTTCGCGAAGTCAAACTCAACGTTATGGCTCATCCGCCTTACTCGCCAGACCTTGCTCCATCGGACTTCTGGTTGTTTACACGTCTGAAGCGCAATCTCGGTACATATCCAGATGCTCGAAGTTTAGCCAGAGGAATCACCATGGAGCTCAATTCGATTCCCATTGAGGAATATCAAAAGACATGCCACAAGTGGATTGAAAGGATGAAACTTTGCGTTGAACATCAGGGCAACTACTTAGAACATTTGATGTAGAAAGATTGGCAAAAGGTTTCTTCTTTGAATAAATATTTGAAATTATTAGAATTTAATGACTGACCTATGTATATTGATGAAGTTTTCAATCTCGTGAATCAAGCAGAAGTTCACGGAAATCTGACTGGAAAAGTTCTACATGATAGTGAGTGATTTGTATCGTAGTTCATTTAGCAATTATTCGGCTGTTTTTCTCAAAATATGCCTGTTGTGAATTAGTTGAAAATAATACTCGCGACATAGAATGAGCTTTACTTCCCAATGAAAATCCTAACTGGAATACGGTTTGAATTAGTACTGTAGCGTTGAAGTATACAGAAGAAACTACCGAATCTTATGAGTTTCTAATGGAGTTCACGTTTCATTAAAAAATGTATTAGTATCTGAAACTACTTTAATCAGAAGTATAAAAAAATATTTAGTTGTTTTTTTGTTGGATCTGTTTCATTGCATGTCGTGCATTTTTTTACAAATTAGATTTTTGTGTTTTACAGATGCGTTGATCCTCGTGCAATGTTTACGCCTCTTTCTCTCTATCTTTACATTATGTTTATCTTGTTACAACTAATTAACTACATGCGTAATTACTTGTGCAACAAAATAATCACGGCAACAAACTGTCCGCCCACCTAGTTGATGTCACCGACGTGGTAGAACGTGTAAAATTAGCTGAGTGACATAGTTTCAATATTGATCCACACAAACTCTTGGAGATGATTTAAACTCCAACTCCACTTCAACAATTCAATAATCACATCGTATGAACTTCATGAATGCTTGGACATGCACGTCTCCTAAAGAATGTTCGCGATCGCTGGATTATGTCTGGCATTGTCGTATTGTTTTTTTTGCATTGACATTCAGCTGATCGTGCACTCGACTGGTGGGATAATGCTGTTGTTAAAAGAATGACTATTGAAGGTTCTGGCGAAGAGCGTTGGTAGTAATCTGAGCACGACGGAGTGTCGTTCAGATGCAACAAGATGGTCTACGCAGGATGATATTTGATCTATTGCCTGCTTGAAATATGTGGTGTAAGCTACACGTTTTTGATAGAATAAGATGAAGTGTTCCACGAAAGAAACAGTATTTAATAACGGGTGCGGCAGAATAAATGAGCCTCTCCGTATTTTTGCAATAACTCCTCCATTTTCCATCGAATAAAGCTGATCTTTTTTTTTTAAACATTCGTCTTATCAAGTTCTACAACAATTATCTTCTTTTATTATCTTAAATAGTTCCCATCATTTTGAGAAACGCGATACAATCGATTGGTCCAACTAGCACAACTTTCAAAGACAAC